TGCCACAGAGGCAATCAGAGGGAGAAGGGGAGGAGGAAGAGAGGTGTCACTCTCAGCATCTCACTCAAAGAGAGCTAGATGGCACTGACGTGGACGCAGCAATTTCACCAAGCTCGCCCACATTCTGCAGGACGGCGCAAACATTCTAACGCCACAGCTCATGCCGCCATTGAAGTGTAACGGAGAGGAGAAGAGTTGGGGAGGTAGTAATTTGTATGGATAGATCGAGAGATAGACAGGCAGGTTGTTGGATTGAGAGAAAGATAACCTGGCAGGTGAGTCCATACACAGAGAATGGAAAAAATCTCCCCACCCTTGACTGCCCATCCACCCAAACCCCTACCGGCCAAATGACCAAACCAACAGACTGGCGAATGGTGTATAAGTAAGCAAACAAAGAATCTCAATGCGTGAGAGTGAACGAAAATGCGAATGGGCTCACATCCACAGCAATATCTGTCACCTAGACTCGTCAATCAATCCCCAGCCGCAAAGCAAAACAAATAATATTTGTTATAATAACGAAGTCAAGGCTAATGACTACTCCGACTAAAGGGAGTGGGGAGGAGAACAACCTTGAAGATTTGTTCATGACTGTGAGGCTCGTCAAGTAAATAGCCGCCGCAACACATTAAGGACGGCCCTCAAAAATAGGCGTTAGCTTCATTTGTTAAAATAAAGTGACAGGGCTGAAGGGGGTCTAATAACACCTTAACATATACCTAGGGACAGACATTTTCAGCGACACTCCCCCACCCCATCTCACCCCACCGTCTAGCGCACCCCACGATCCGTGAAATGAAAAACGTACATGATAGCACTCAAAGTCAAACAAACTTACGACCATGGGTAAAAAATGAGGGAGGGAGGGAAGGAAGGAAGGGGGTCGAGTGAAACGGCTACTTGTGCCTATACCTCAGTGATTTACTTAAAGTAAATTAACATGTAATATGTAGGCTAATGTGTATGAGTGACCACGTCCCACTTCAGCACGGTTAGTGGTAATGTTGTATTCAAAATGAAGTATGCTCATCAGAAACACTCGCCTCAGAGGGAGAGAAAGAGGTGGAGGAGGAAGAGAGGTACCTCTTTCAACACCTCAAGGAGTCAGACGACACTCACAAGGATGCAGTTATTTCGACGAGCTCGGTCTACTGTGCGGGATGGCGCAAACATTCCCACGCCACATCTTTGGCGTAATTGAAGCTTGGCACAAAGGAGAGGAGATGGAGGGTCGTGGGTTATATAGGTAGATCGAGAGACGGACAGGTGGGTTGGTAGACGGAGAGATAAATAACCAGGCAGGCAGGCAAGCAAGTCCATGAACCAAAAACGAAGCAAATCTCCCAACCTCTGTCTGTCTACCCACCAAAACCCCCAATAACTAGCCAAATAACCAAACGTGGTGGCGAGAAGTGTGCAAATTAATAAATGAAACTCACTGCTTGCCAGTGAACTAAAATGAGAAAGGAATCAGGCCTGCACCGATGCCGGTCAACGAGACTCGTCAATCAACCCTCAGTCGCACGGCAAAACAAATAATAATCATGATGATAAAGTCAAGGCTAATGACTACTCCGAA